TGAAAATAAAATAAAAGAAAATGATTTGAAATATTTCCACCAAACTAGGGATATTTCACCCCGCTAGAGTTCCTGGTTCACTATTGATTTTCACCACCCCAGAGTTGTGTGTGATTCCACTTCTATTATTTCGCTTAATCGGAAAAAATGCCCGGAAAAACTTAATACTATTTAATAATAAACATTCTATTTAAATTTTCGCGTGTTAAATATGTTACAATGTGACGAAATATAATTAAAAAAAAGTGCCAGTGATTTTCAACCCTGTTTTCTACATGTCAATATTATCTCCAGAAAAAAGTGATCCGCGAAATAGGGATATTCGTTTACAATCTAGCTTTTCCTAGAATTTTCATGATGGAAATTAATTTTTTCGCCGTTTTGACCGACAGGTTGATCGATATAAAGAAAAAAGTTGTTAAATTGTGACATAAAAATTTGAGTAATCGTCATTAGATCGTGTGCGAAAATGCAGAAGGAAAATTCTAACCCTTCCACCGAGGTGCACCAGTACGTGGGGCCTTATAGGCTGGAAAAAACGTTGGGAAAAGGTCAAACTGGTGAGTGTTTATTTTAATAAATGAATATATAAATGTTTTTGACAATTTTTGAGTCGAAATAAAAATATTATTTGACTCCCAAAAAGGTAACGGTTGCATTGACTCCTAGATGATTTTAATACGTAATTAATATAAATACTTATAACATTTTAAAATCTAAACGTTGTTGCCAAATCGATCTTATATCTTGACAAAATTTTGTTAAAATAAAACAGTAATTAGGAAATTATAATTATTTTTTTATATAATATAAATCAAAATATAAAAAAAATACAAAACTCGACTTTTTTTAACCATTTTCTCAATTTTTTTTAGAAAAAACTAAATTAAATTTTGAAAAATTGTTTCCAGAGGAACATAGATTTAACCTTTACCTACACGTACATATTTTTTTCTTTTAAAAATATTTAAAAATAAATTTTAAAAGTGGGGTACTACGAAACCCTTACAATGCAAGATTTTTCGTTTGGAAAGTGGCGCAAAACTTTTTAACCCATTTTCTCAATTTTTTTTAGAAAAAGCTAAATTGAATTTAGAAAAAGTAGTTCTGGAAAAGCATAGATTTAACCTTTACCTACACGTACATATTTTTTTCTTTTAAAAATAGTCAAAATAAACTTTAAAAGTGGGGTACTACGAAACCCTTACAATGCAAGATTTTTCGTTTGGAAAGTGGCGCAAAACTTTTTAACCCATTTTCTCATTTTTTTTTAGAAAAAGCTAAATTGAATTTTGAAAAAGTAGTTTTAGAAAAGCATAGATTTAACCTTTACCTACACATACATATTTTTTTCTTTTAAAAATACTCAAAAATAAACTTTAAAAGTGGGGTACTACGAAACCCTTACAATGCAAGATTTTTCGTTTGGAAAGTGGCGCAAAACTTTTTAACCCATTTTCTCAATTTTTTTAAGAAAAAGCTAAATTGAATTTTGAAAAAGTAGTTTTGGAAAAGCATAGATTTAACCTTTACCTACACGTACATATTTTTTCTTTTAAAAATACTCAAAAATAAACTTTAAAAGTGGGGTACTACGAAACCCTTACAATGCAAGATTTTTCGTTTGGAAAGTGGCGCAAAACTTTTTAACCCATTTTCTCAATTTTTTTTAGAAAAAGCTAAATTGAATTTTAAAAAAGTAGTTTCAGAAAAGCATAGATTTAACCTTTACCTACACGTACATATTTTTTTCTTTTAAAAATATTCAAAAATAAACTTTAAAAATGGGGGTACTACGAAACCCTTACAATGCAAGATTTTTCGTTTGGAAAGTGGCGCAAAACTTTTTAACCCATTTTCTCAATTTTTTTTAGAAAAACCCAAATTGAATTTTGAAAAAATAGTTCTGGAAAAGCATAGATTTAACCTTTACCTACACGTATATATTTTTTTCTTTTAAAAATAGTCAAAAATAAACTTTAAAAATGGGGGTACTACGAAACCGTTACAATGCAAGATTTTTCGTTTGGAAAGTGGCGCAAAACTTTTTAACCCATTTTCTCAATTTTTTTTAGAAAAAACTAAATTGAATTTTGAAAAAGTAGTTCTGGAAAAGCATAGAATTAACCTTTACCTACACGTACATATTTTTTCTTTTAAAAATACTTAAAAATAAACTTTAAAAATGTGGTACTACGAAACCCTTACAATGCAAGATTTTTCGTTTGGAAAGTGGCGCAAAACTTTTTAACCCATTTTCTCAATTTTTTTTAGAAAAAACTAAATTGAATTTTGAAAAAGTAGTTTTAGAAAAGCATAGATTTAGCCTTTACCTACACGTACATATTTTTTCTTTTAAAAATATTTAAAAATAAACTTTAAAAATGGGGGTACTACGAAACCCTTACATTGCAAGAATTTTCGTTTGGAAAGTGGCGCCTCTGTTAGATTTTTAAGAAATTAATATTTATGAATGAAAACAATTTATAATATATTTTACTGATGTTTTACGAGGAATAAATAAATTGTACCTATTTGTACAACTTTTAAATTTAGGATTTTACCAGTGGCAGTGGTAATTGATGATATATAATTATTATTATTATACCAAATGTTTTAAAAGGCTACACCAACTAGTGGACCACGCTTTTAAGTCCCCAAATAATAGTTTCAAGATTTTGATTCGGATTAGAAGTTTTGTGTCAAAGCCAAGTCATGTATTGATATTGTAAAACGCAGATGAATAACTATCATCAATAGAAATTGAAAATTCACACATTTTGGTAAGACGGAGAACGCAAACTTCCAACAACTTCTCTAATAACATCTAAAACGGTTTCAGACAACGCAGGATTAATTTTTTTACCTCCATTTTGATTTTATTCCAAATTAATTCTATGGCATTTAATGTACGCTAATACCTGGTTATCTCTGGATAATACGGTGGTAAATGTATTACAGTCTGAACGAATACCGTAGCCATCTAATCTACAACATGGCTAGGTTCAATTTCATTAGTAATATTATTAGTTGATAAATACAGTTTTCTCTCTCTTTCTCTCGCTACTATCAAACAAAACTTTACTGTTTGTGCCAAACTCAACGAGACTGGGTTCGTGAATGCCATTTCGCCAAAACCAATCCTGTCAATCTTGAACACAACTCCACTTCCTGTATTTGAAAGGTACCGCTCACAAATATCCCTTCCCCGCTGTTTATTCATAATTATGTTGCCCTAATAGTGCCCGGGGTCATTCCTCGTACACAAGGGGATGTAATATTTCTGAAACTAGAGCTCTTGCAATTCCCTCACGGACTTTGACTTCTATTTTCACGACCCTTTGCCTTTGAAGAAAATCTATGTAATTAAAATAGGGTTGTGTTAAGTAAGATACTTATTTTTTGTTGGTGTAGAAATAATTAGCTCCTCAGGAGTTTTTGAAGAGGATAAATACTTTTTACTAATGTTTTTCATAAAATTACATGTATTCAGATGGGTCGAGACCGTTTTTGGTCTCCCTAGCTGTCGTTTTACGTTTGAAATCAGTCTCGGGCTGCGAATTCCCGAATGGTGGCTTTAAAAGTAAAAATTGTTTCAAAAAATCTGATGTGTCCAACACATGACTTTCCTATCTAGTTATTATAGGCATTTTCCGGTTATTTTGTACAACCTATTGCAGCATCTCTATAAATGTTTAGAGGATAAACTAAATATATACATTTTACACATACATCTACCTTGAAACATTTTTCTATAGATATTCATTGAAAACGAAAATACTGAAAAATTTAAATTTAGCACTTTTCCATTACGGACCATTTTAGAAAAATCATGTATAAACAAAAATTATAGAAATCGATATCGCAAACAACTTTTAGTTCAACAATTTTCATAAAAATCAGAATTTTGCACATTTTGTCAAATTTCTCGAATACGGACCATTTCAGGAAATTTTGACATAAAGCAAAAATTATAGATAATAATATTAGAAGTAACTTTTATTTGAACAATTTTCTTCTCCAAACATAAATAACAGATATATTCCATAAAATATAAAAACGGGCCTCCCATAAAGTACCCCCCCCCAGATGTTCCGACTTTGTCCAAAATCTAATTATTTCACGTCAGGCCGAAATAAACCTTAAGTTTAAAATTTAATATTTTTTCCTTTATCCGTTT